CGGGAATTACAGCCCTTCTGACACTCTGGGTAATTCAGAAGGCTGCAGTGTTAGGGAGCCTTCATATTCTCCGGAAAGTTCTTGGTGGGTTCGACTAGGCAGCGGTTCCTGGGAGAAGTCCCATTCGCTGTATCTGGGCTGCTTGTAGAGGGGCAAGGGCCCTGAGCTGATGATGAGCCTCACCAGCCTGACTGTGCCAGAATTACCCGAACCCTCTCTGCTGCATATTATCTTTAATCTGTAAAACATAATAATGTGTCAATTTATATAGCGCCAAACTCCACCAGGTATGCTGATAGCACACCAGATTATTACCCCGGATAACCCATGCTGCCTGTCAGGCGCTAAAAGGTTATAGTGACATGACTTATCCCACAGGGTACCCATTTTTGCTGGGTGAACAGAGGCAATTTTTGAACAAACTCACTTGACTAAGGTGAGACTACATGCATCACATGTGCTTCGTTGTTGGGGCAGGAATGAAGTATATGGTAGCTTAAATGTGTATCTATTATTTGGGCTAAACCATCTTGTTTGCAACTGCGATTTGAGTTCGCGTCACACTTGTCCTTCTGAAGGTTACGGAAAGAGACGATTGGTACTGAATGACATGGACATTTACTGGCAAACAAGGATAAGTTGAGGACCGACCTGACAACTGACCCGTATTATATTAGCATCTATGAGTGCCGCCCACTGGAGCTTGCCATTGTCATCGAAGGGTCCCACGTTGTCCGCGATCAAGTGTAGTGCGATGGGTGAAGCTACACCGACCACGTGAGAGTCTTATGAGCATGGCGCGTCCAGCTACGCGCAGAATCAATTTCATCATCATGCACTGCACGTGCACTAGCCACCATCTATGGTGGCTGATTAGGGCCATCGCTTAGGGCCATCGCTTTCTCGCCTTAAACTTCGGAGGCGAGAAAGCGAGAAAACGATATCACGAGACGAGAAAGCGATAACACGAGACGAGAAAGCGATAATACATGACGTCTTACCTGCGTATGATTTAATCCAACAGGACGCTTTCTTGTCATTTGGTTTAGTCGTATAGAAACAAAATGAACATGCTTTCAAATTCTGTGGCATTTTGTAATTAATCCTTTAGCTTGTCCAAACAATAATCCAACAATAACTCCAGAAACAACAGACCAACCAGACCAACTCCCCGTCGGGCTTTATTGTATCAGTTATGGAATTTTATACACCCTGAGCCTTTCATCTGGTCTTGTTATGTGTGGATATTTCACACATATACATTTCTACTATTATGTGAAAAGGTATTGTTCTAAATGTATGTTCCATAGTCTCTCATACTTCTACAAGAATGGCTTGTGTACATACGCATATGTCTGTCTGTCCCCATATCCCAACTATCGACTTGAGACAGTGCCACAAGTCATCGACCGACGTGATAGGTGTGTTTTACAAAACGTAATATAATTATTACTTGGGGAATAAAGCACTATATCATAAAACACCTTGGAAATATGGCATTTTGATTCTGAATTTAAGATTTATACAATTTTGGATTGCGAGGCCGTTTGTCTCAATTCATATCCAACTTTTTAACTGACAGGCAATTTCAAGTCCGCCTGGGTGCCACCCTGTCTGATCATTACAATCAGGATCAGGGTGTCCCACAAGGCAGCATTTTGTCTGTCACACTATTCAGTATGAAGATAAATAGTTTGTCCAAGGTTTTAAATGATTCAATCGACGTGTCGCTGTTTGTGGATGATTTTAATGCTTCTTGTAGTGGTAAAAATATGCATACTATTGAACGGCAGCTGCAATTGTGGTTATACAAAATAAATAAATGGTGTCTTGAAAACGGCTTTAAATTTTGTAAGTCAAAAACTTATTGTATATACTTCTGTTGAAAGTAAAAGCCACATAAGGACCCAGAACTAAATTTAAATGGCACTCCAATTAAAGTTGTCAAAGAGGCCAAGTTCTTGGGTCTAATTTTCGACTCCCATTAAACTTTTTTTAGTAGTTTCTAATTCAAAGTGGGGAGGGCATCATACTACCCTGCTACACCTATATAGATCACTAGTCCGCTCCAAACTTGATTGTGGCTCCATCGTATATGGTGGAGCCTGCAACAGCAACCTAAAACTATTAGATTCCATTCACCACCAAGGCCTAAGACTTTATTGGGTCTTTTAGAACTTCTCCTGTTGACAGTCTCTATGTTGAGGCATATGAGCCATCACTTAACCAACGTCGTATAAAATTATCTTTACATTATATAACAAAACTCTATTCTAACGAGTCTAATCCTGCATTTAACTGTGTTTTCAATCCTCTTTATGAGGATTTATACAACAAAAAGACTTCTCTTGTTCCGTCTCTTGGGCTAAGAATTAAACAATTCATTTCTGCTGCTGAGCTGGAAAATATAACTCCTTCCCGTCTTCTTTCTTCTCCTCTTTGGCAATTGGTTAGGCCCCAAATTGACCTAACATTGACCACACTTAAAAATCCGAAACTAATGAATTACAGTATAAACAAGAATTTAGTCAGTTAAAAAATAAATATAATACATACAAATCCTTATTTACAGATGGGTCCAAGGATGGTGGCGCAGTAGCTTGTGCCACTGTCATTGGATCCAGAACAATATCTTCTCGATTGCCTGATAACAGCTTTATTTTCACAGCAGAAGCAAACGCTATACTAACAGTTCTTAAATATATTAATAGGCACCCCAGATATAAACAATATACTATATTTTCAGATTCTCTTTCTTGACTTCAGGCTATAAAAAATCTCTTGTAAACATCTACTTTTAATTGAGATAATTGAATTGCATAATGATCTTGCAACTGGCCAATACGACATCGTCTTTTGTTGGTTACCCAGCCACACTCAATAAATCTGTGACACCACTTCTTATTCCATACTCTGATTATAAAGCTGTCATCAGATCCTATATCCGTAATCTAATGCAGAAGAAGTGGGACACCCAAGTAGGTAACAATAAATTACATGAAATATAACCCTACATTGGTTACACGTACTTGGGTTGTCAGTCCAGATTTAAAGAGGTCATCATACGACGATGCCGTATTGGCCACACAAGATATACTCATGAGTACCTATTGAAAGGTGAGGATCCTCCGTTTTGTGTACCTTGTGATGAAAGAATCACGATCAAGCATATCCTGCTTGACTGTGTTGATTATTCCATGACAAGGGATATCTATTTCAAATCACGAACTATGAAGGATCTTTTTACTACTATAAGTCCTCATTTAATTATTGCATTTTTAAAAGAATTAGATTTGTTAACAGATTTGTAAATAGATAAATACTTTATGATGGGAAGTTTAAATTAATAACTCAGATGGCTGTACCCTCAAGGGGAGTTAAAGTATTGTAAGATTATTGTCCTCCTGAGAGGGTACGTAAGTCCCAAAACTCTCAAAGTAAATTTCAAACTTACCAGGATTTTAAGCGTAGAGTTTTTGTGATTTTAATAATGGCAACTAGGGTCCATGTAGGTAGCAAAGGTACTGTAAGTCCCCATTGTCCTTAGTATGGTGATCAACCTTCAGTTGCTGGTGATCTGTAGCCCGTTCTTATATTGTACTGTTGTCTCTCGTGATATATTTTTATGATAGCGTACTAGTTTTAAATTAAGAGCTGTTATATTCTAGTAGTTTTATTGTCCTTCGATGACAGATTTTTATGTTCTAAATTTATTGATTAAATTTTGATATAAATTGTTCTCGTCACGATATGGCTGAAATATTGCCGATGTGACGTTAAATATTAACTCACTCATTCACTCAAAATGGCGGCGGAGTGTAACAGTATATTGTAGAACATCAGTTGTTGGTATAACATGTCTATTATCTAACTTTTGTTAGAAGGAAACTTGGGGGAAAAGATGGGTTTTGATAGATATTATGATGGCAGGACAGGTTTGAAATTGGCGGACCAAAACGTCGCTTACATTATATTAAAGAAGTTGTATATCCATATAACTTTCCCCGTTGTTCAGCACACCAACTTCTAAATGCCATCCAAAGAAGTTCACTATATATGGTTAGAGCAGCGTTTAAGTGCGTACTATTTTCAGCTTTGATTAGACGAACGTTTGACTGCATCCTTTTATTTGCTTAGATTACACCATTGACTGTGGAATGGTTCTGTTACTACATTGAGGTACTAAGGTGCTTTACTGTTACGTGCATCTCCTCTATCTTTGGGTAGGAGCGATTTAGGTTCATGTAGGTGAAGATCTTCAGTTAATAGGCGACATATATTGCAGTTCACACACTCACTCAGTGATTTTATTTTAGGATGATGGTTTAGATGTGGTTGATTGTCTTAGTGCTGGCCACTCATGGTGGAAATCACCCTGAAAAGATACTCGTCACAATGCCTTATTTGTCATAGGTCCCTCCCTTTCATCTGGCACTTCCGACACATTTGTTACACAATATCATAATTCAAAGAAAACCATAGAAAAGAACCAGTCAGACTTCAAAATTCGTAAACGTTTGGAAGCAGTACACATCAAGAAGTTAGCATCCGCCCTTAAAAGAGATGAAGGATACTACATTCCTAATGGCTACCATCACTTGATAAAGTAATCAATAATATTATCTGTTTCAATTCAACTATGTACATCAACCCCAGCCATTGTATATACATCCACCTGGCTTCCTATCAGTTGCATAAGTTCTAATTCAGTCCTTGTGGCTTCCAATCAACTTACTCAATCTCTTATAAAAGCGATGTACATCAACCTCATTTATTGTGAAAACAACTCATTGCCTATCTACTGTAATAACAACTCATGTATATATACTCTCAATTTGTAACTCATGTATCACTTGCTTGACCACGACATTAGAATCTATGTCGAAACGTCGCCTCCACAGAATAAAAGAAGTTTTTGTATATCCATAATAATTATCTTTATTCTTCATCAACTCAGCTTCTAAAATGCCCATCAAAGAAATGATTCAATTGGTTGGTGTGATTAAGTTGGTTCAGACAATTCGAATCCAGTCATGTCATATGTAATTCCCTTAGTCACATCACAAAAATGAACGTTTCCGTTATTTCACTATATGACTATTGCAAACGTGCAAATTGCATGCCAAAGGAAAATCTACATCTGTATGAGATATTCTCTATACGTCAAGTCATACAACGCCATTCGTTAAAAGCAGTTACTGGACAGTGTAAGCAGGGCCCTGTCTTCCTGCATGCAGATGCTCAAAAGCAAGGGCGTTAACTCAGAGTTAAGAGTCTTTGTGAATACATCAACGTGGCCTTTTGCCGACTATGGGAAAGGGCAACTGTCTTTTGTTACATTATGGTGCAATCTTTCCTTTTTTTCTCAGGACTAAACGGAACTGGTTTTAAGTTTCTTCCAGTAGTGAGAAAACGTGGAAATGTTGCTGAATTTCCTGTTTTGCCATCGTCACCAGGCCGGGCGTATATGGCTGTAGTTCTTGTACAACTGACCTTGTAGTAGATCTGACTTTGATCGCTCTGGGAGCAAGCGCGTGAGGCATCCATTTCATTGTGGTTGTTTGAGGTACTCAGTCCTGCACTAGGTGACGTTTTCTGAGATAATACCGACTGTCTCAATGTGAATGTGGGTAATGTATAATCACTCGATTTGTCCCTATGGTGGTGTTGGCTTTTCAAGCCCGAACCTTCAGCGGTTGACGTTTTCTGAGAAAGGGCAGACTGCCCATGTACAGGTCTGTGATTCGATAACGTTTTATCAGAATAGGACGAATTGTCATACATGTCGTCAGAAGAGTTGCTGCATGTAGCTGAACTGTGCCCAGTACGTATGGTTTTCTCGGCTTCAGAAAGATCATCGACCATTGACCACCGATCACCACAACCTTGACCAGGACCACGAGTTCCCAATCCAAGGACAGCTCCATGTCCTACAGATGATCTTCTATTGCTGGGGGGAGTGTGTACAGACGGAGGACTTGTGTTGCTTTGCCAAGGGTTAACCTGGCGTTGATTGCTGGAACTAAAAGAAGCTGAAACTGTAGTTGTTATGGAGGAGTTCCCAGTAGATTTCACGGAGGGTGTTTTTGTCGGGGATGGCGCAGCCGGGACAGACTGCACAGGAGAAGAGTGTTTAAAAGCACCCGTAACACTGGTACTTGTTGCAGGCATTGTTTGATTCTGGTTTAGAGACGCGTTTCCTGTGTGTTGATCATCAATACCTTGACCACGACCACGACTTCCCAATCCAAGGACAGCTCCATTTCCTACAGATGATCTCTTTCTGGGCGGAGTGTGTATGGGTGAAACGCTTGTGTTGCTTTGCCCAGGGTTAACCTGGCGTTGATTGCTGGAGCTGGAAGAAGCTGAAACTGTATTTGTTGCAGGTATTGTTGCAGGTGTTGCAGGTATTGTTTGATTCTGCATTAGAAACGACGAGTTCCCAGTAGATTTCACGGAGGGTGTTTTCGCCGTGGATGGCGCAGCTGAGACAGGCTGTACAGGAAAAGAGTGTTTCAAAGCACCGGTAACACTGGTATTTGTTGCAGGTAATGTTTGGTTCAGGTTTAGAGACGAGTTTCCAGTAGATTTCATGGAGGGTGCTGTTGTCTGGGATGGTGCAGCTGGGACAGGCTGCACAGGAGACGAGTGTTTCAAAGCACCCATAACACTGGTACTTGTTGCAGGTATTGTTTGATTCTGGTTTAGAGAAGAGTTTCCAGTAGATTTCACAGAGGGTGTTTTTGTCGGGGATGTTGCAGCCGGGACAGGCTGTAAAGGAGAAGAGTGTTTGGAAGCACTGGTAACACTAGTACCAGCGGCTCCCTGTGGTCCATTTCTTCTGTTTACAGACACGGATTCATCAACACTTCCATCTCTGTACTCGACAAGGTACTCGGGGTAGCACTGATTTCGCTCAAATATAATAAATATTGAAGGGTTGTTAATGTCGTTGACGCAAGAATCGTACAACACGTGGCCTTTTCTCGGTGGAGGCCTCGTGTAGCTGCTGTCTCCCAGTGTGTACTTTCCAACAAGCACTCGGGCTAGGAACATGTACTTATTCCTGCCTTTGGTGTAATTGTGACTATACTTAGCGTCACGGGCGAAGTACGCCCCCTTGCCGTACACAGTGGCGTTCTTGCCGCTGACTCTGAAGTCAAAGTTGTTGATGCAGATGTTGTTGACCACGTCTAGAGTGTCTGTGCCGTGGAAGAGTTGTCGCTGATCAATGCTCTCTGTGCTATGAGACATCTGAAGTGTCTTCCTCATACTGAAACATCATATTTGTATTTAAATAGGTGATTTCTCACCGCTTTGTTATACATATATGAAATATAGTTTTTGTACATGTTAATAAACCCATTTTCCGTTTTCTAATAATTCTAGCAGAATGTGGTCTGAAGGTTAGCCCAGCATTAATTTTGTTTCGTTCAGAGCTAAATATGAAATCAGTAAATGGCATGTTTCATAAGATATATTGTTACACACAGGATTTTGACAGCACGCAAAAACCCACGACAATGGTTAAAATCTGTCACAGTAACAATACATAACACGCCCTAAAACACATCCGAGTTTTCAGAAACAAGTCACTGTCGATTGCCTTGAGAGTGGCAAGTGATCCGTTTTGAATTCGGAACCAGGGTTGGAGACAACCCGTACCCACGAAGATATGAACCTGAACGTTTTCGGCGGTCTCGTACCCACATATTCGATAGCATGTACCCACTCATATCTAATCAACTGGATGACTCGTACCAAAAAATAAAATGATAGGATTTGAGACAATAATCGACTTGAATCTGTGTTTCACAAAACAACACATATGTAGTTTCACATCGACTGTCAACTCCTTCCACCGATCGACTTCAAGGACATCATGACTTATTTGGTTATGTATTACCCCATGTTGCCAGTACGTTACAGACTGCCAGATAAGAAATAAAACTACAATTTCAGATACTGATTGCGTTGATTGATTTTAATTTTATCTGATAAAGGCAGCTTGAAGACTACAAGTCACAGACATTGGTGGAGTTAATTGGTTGATTGATTTTAATGAATGAAACCATATAATGTATAAAGGTCGGTGTAAATGTTGATAAATGAACGACATTGTTACCAATATATTACAGACTGCCAGATAAAGCAATAAACCTACCATTTCAGATGCTGATTGAGTTTATCTGCCAGGGCCACTTGAGGACATTGGTGGAGTTAATGAATGAAACCATATAATGAATAAAGGTCGGTGTAAATGTTGATGAATGAACGATACCGCTTTACAACAGATAGGTATGAGTCCATACTTTTGTGCGGGTGCTCCAACTTCGTGCACTGTTCACCCCAATGACGAACGAATGCAACAAAAACAGCTTCTTGGGGTACGAATCTCCTTGGGTAGGAATCGTTTTATTTCGCAACCGGGCAAATGGACATATCGCAATACTCGTTTTTCTCAACCAGCCAAGAAGAAATTATTACCTGAAGAAACGATGTCGGCCCTCACGGAAGTTGGGTCGGAAGGTTTAAAATACTAAATTTATGAGAATAAAGATTGAAATTGTAATACTTTACCTGAGGAAATTGTGCCAAAGTAAAGCATTCTGCAGTCTGTATAGTCGCTGGACTTGACATCTCTCCGCTGACAGAGTTTTGTAGATGGATGACATCACAGTGGTAAATTCATCGGAGCTTGCATCCAATTCCACTTTTTCACTGTCCTGATAACGGTCAAGCGGAGCCCAGTTCGAGGGGACGTCAGTTGGTGTGACCGCCGCCGGGGACATCAATAGACTGGAACTGAATTACAGGTCTGGACATTACAACGTTCTCGTTTGGCATCATGCATGGTTTTGTGCTGCGCAAGTGGACTGAATCGTAGGGTATTTTCATATCAACGGAATTGTTAATGGAGATCATTCTTGAATATGGCACCTTTCTAGGGTTTTAGCAGCAGGGGTTAAAAAATCCCATCGCCCGACGCCCGGGACAAGTCAGTTTTCATTTCGGGGCGATCGCCGTGGGCTACTAGATAATCTCTGCTTACCGTTTCTTAAACTTGGACTTCATTTCATATCTGCTCAAAATGGACAATCCTTCTTTGCTGCTTCAGTTCTTTCATAATTACATAAAAATGATTATGTCATAAAAATCAAAGTGGAAAATTAGGGACAAGTATCTTACTTGTCCGTGGTTTTGAACCCCTACATAGATATATTTTAACGACAAACATGTCTGCTTGGACACTGGTCACATGTCTCTTGTGAAAGGCCTCAATGAACGTACATGTCACTTACCACATCTTTTGGCTGTGTTGGGGCCTCGCCAACAGACAAGGTCACATGTCTTTTGTGAAAGTCTTCAATGAACGTACATGCCACGGATATCTTACCACATCTAGTGGCGGTGCTGGATCTCGCCAGCAGACAAGGTCACATGTCTCTTGTGAAAGTCTTCAATGAACGTACATGTCACGGATATCTTACCACATCTTCTGGCTGTGTTGGGGCCTCGCCAGCAGACAAGGTCACATGTCTCTTGTGAAAGTCTTCAATGAACGTACATGTCACGGATATCTTACCACATCTAGTGGCGGTGCTGGATCTCGCCAGCAGACAAGGTCACATGTCTCTTGTGAAAGTCTTCAATGAACGTACATGTCACGGATATCTTACCACATCTAGTGGCGGTGCTGGATCTCGCCAGCAGACAAGGTCACATGTCTCTTGTGAAAGTCTTCAATGAACGTACATGTCACGGATATCTTACCACATCTAGTGGCGGTGTTGGGGCCTCGCCAGCAGACAAGGTCACATGTCTCTTGTGAAAGTCTTCAATGAACGTACATGTCACGGATATCTTACCACATCTAGTGGCGGTGTTGGGGCCTCGCCAGCAGACAAGGTCACATGTCTCTTGTGAAAGTCTTCAATGAACGTACATGTCACGGATATCTTACCACATCTAGTGGCGGTGCTGGATCTCGCCAGCAGACGTCACAGATCTGTGAAAGTCATCCAGGTCTCCAGTGAAAGGCCTCACTGAACACATTTAATTTCAGTGATGCCTTACCACATTTGGCGGGGTTGTTAGGCGTTGTCAATAGACACAACACCTGACTCTAATGAAAGATTCCAATGAACCTACATAGCACTCATTCCTCAGATATCTTACCACGTCTGTTGGCGGCTCCTGGCGTCATCAAGATATACAAACATCGGCCTCCTCTGAACTGGCCTCCGAGTTAGATACTTCCTGTTGACCTGAACCAGAGAGGTGAAGTCCAGGCGGTATTCCTGATCTGCGATAGTGTAGAAGTAGGTGTTCTGTCCAGCCAGGTACTTGGTCTCCAGGGTCAGCTGAAGTTCCGGCTGTAGCAATCGCCAGTAGGATTATCAGAGTAGCAGATAGTTGATGAACGGAACAGTAAATATAAGACTGATATTTGGAAGCACAGCAGACAATTTGTATTTGAAGAATATTCAGAATGAGTTGAGGGATCAACAAAAGTACATCCGACTTACCGGAACAAAGGAAGACCACTTGTCATTGTTATCTTTCCAGTACCACACCCACTGAGTGTAGAGGACTATGGGGTCACTTCCGGCCTCAGCGTAGGACCGAGTTGACAGTCTTTGGAAACTGAATTTATTGACTGAACTTCTCGAAGGTGGGTCCAGAATTTCGTCAAACGTGACAGTAGTTTCTTTGACATCTCCAAATCTCTTTATCTGGAAGCAAAGAACCAACGGATGTGGATATGACAAAAATGTGTGTTGTGGTATGAGGTGCCCCAGAAATATCTAGCGTAAAGGATATCTTTGTTCCATGGTTTGCTACCCGTGAAGATGCGGGTTAGAACTGATCTTCATTAACCCAATGGCATGCTTGTCATAAGAGGCGACTAATGGGATCGGGTGGTCAGACTCGCAGACTTGGTTAGAACTTGTCATCGTATCCCAATTGCATAGAATACTGAGTGCGGAGTAAAAGTGAACTCACTAACTCCAATGTTTGCTTCTCACATTACGAAAGGAGAACTCTTATTGAGCTCACACCAAACCCGTATTGATCTCACCTCCACGACTGTTCTTTCCTCATTGTTGCAGAAAGCTTGCTCTAGCAGTTCCATCTGAACGGTTGACAGTAGGCTCCATACATCAGGCTTTATCTGGTATTGCCAGACGTACGGGGACCTTTTTTGGTGATGCAAACGAGAGCAGTAGCAAGGTCCACTGACGTATAGTTCACACAGATCGCTGGAACCTTGAGTCAAACTGTGTCTTGAAGTCTTGACTGCAAGACATTAATATCTGAGTGAGTGAGTGAGGTGGTGAGTGAGTGAGGTGTCTTTTTCGTGCACTGACCTCATAATGGAATTACAGCCCCATTGTTTTGTGAGTGAGTGAGTGATTCTACTCATAACCGATTTAACATCGAACTTCCTCGTCCTGCGGAAGACGGCGTAATCCGGCATGGGACCGAACTCGTCTGTGAAGGGAGTGGAGTTCGTATTTTTTGATTGCAACATAAAAACTGCTATTCCGTCCAAAGAGCTTGGTTTTTTATAATCGCAACTCCACACGACCCGAAACCAGCCTAGTAATGGAATCGTCTGACCTACTTATTTTTCTTGGGAAGTAGAGTGGAGGACTGTGTGTCGAACCTGAACCCTGGAGTGAGTGAGTGAATTTCACGTAGTGAGTGTACAGCTTGGGATCATTTGTGGAAATCCATACAGGTTACTCAAATATGTCTTTTCGTGCACTGACCTCATAATGGAATTACAACCCCATTGTTTTGTATTTTAACCACTGCTTTACCCCATCCCCATCCTGTATGTTGGTGGCCAAGTTGAAGTAGTGCGGCAGTGTTGTATAGTGAAAGGCCCCAGGAACAGTGTTTTTATAATAATGATGATCATAACGATTCTTACCTGATATTTTTGTTGCATAGTCACTACTTTTCGTAGGGCTGTCTTCTGTCACATTCTCTGTGTCCTTCCACCTTCTCCGCCCACCCGGTCGGGTTCTGTTCTTAAATCCACTCATCTTATCCCTTCGACATTCCCTGTTGAAGAGAAGTATACTTCCCTCAATATAAGAATGGGCCGACCTATTGTGCATCGCTGAGCATTACATACACATGAGCAGTAATGAAACGGAATTCAATCTTCAGAATTTGGGACTTTTGGGTCCAAACAGGCGACCATACCCTGGCATACTGAATTGCACATGTAAAGCTTCACACATTGTCTCAAAACATATATGGCACATGCTGCAAGGTTTTAAAACATCTGCAACATGTAATGTTTTCGTACCTATCACCCAAGAATGTGTTTGGTGCTTGATTTCTGCTCTTGATCAACCAGTGCATTATATCTGCTAAAATGATTCAAAGTAAGGAATATAACCCATCCCCCACACAAAGAAAACAAAATACCAAAAAAATATATAAAATTAGATAAATATATAAAATAAACAAACAAACAAACAAACAAAAACATATAAATAAATAAATAAATAAATAATAAATTATTAAATAAATAAATAAATGAACGAACGAACGAACGAACGAACGAACGAACGAACAAACAAATAAATAGGAATTTATGAAATACAACAAATATAATTATACTGCCTCTATCAATCACCGGATGTTATTCGGACATGTCCTGAAGGGAACGACAGTTATATAGTAGGCAATGTACCCGAAATTCGTAAGTCTGGATAGGTTAAGGAACTCCATACATGTGTTTGGTTAATAGGCTGTAGACATCTGATTGTGTTGTGATCCTTACTCAGTCCATCCATACTGCACATAACGGTAGTTATGATGGATGACTTTGTCGATTAGACATGTCTCTATGTAGAGGATATATGTGATTTTAGGTGTTTGACACTGACGTGTGGCATTTGGCATTGGTTTTCTTCGTGTGGCATTAACTTGTTTGACTAAACTGTGCAATCTTATCAAGGCGGTATATTTATTGTGTATAACAGAGACATAACTAAAGTATCTAACTCCTGAACAAAACAAATATCGGTGGAATCATCAGGACACACAAACTATAACGATATTACATCATCGACCCCAAACCAAAGGACACTCAACACAAAGGTGCTGTCACATTTTGACTTCGATATTTTAACTTTCTATTGATGCTTAAACTATATATGGACCCTTCAACTGTAAAACAATACTTCTACTTTATCGATACATAATCTATAAGCTAATCTATACTAGAACTTTATATAGATACTTAAACTTTATGTTGATACTTAAACTTTATACCTACTGCTGACCAGCAATTCCGAGGTCTGAACCTGTGAGTCAACCTTTCGTGGAAAACTATCAGTTTCAGTTTCACTTAGTGATGAACGTTATGTACTAACGTATGTAATGTTATACACGTTGCTGTAGTATTGGATTTCATGCACTGAGACATTCGAGATTACACATATGCAGGTGACGGAGACGTTTCGAATATTTGTTAAAAGAGGGGCGTCACAAAAGTAGTCGGCCTCAACTAGAACAGTATACAAATGCTGCTGCTTTTATGTTTGATACTTGTACATGTTATCTGTTAACCATGTTCCAGCATCACGATCCAAGTTTTGTTTGACTCTATATCTTGGTACCCTCAAAAGACGCAAAATCTGCAATAAATGCATCACAAACTTCAGGACACAAAATATGCAAGAAACATTTTGTGTGTTTGAGATAGGCAGAAATCCTCTAGAATCAAACGTAGATATTAAAGTGCATAAAAATGCAATTTGAAACTACAATCGCTTGTTAAAGTGATTCCCCCCATGATAAAGTAAGAGAGTTTATGGATAACAACTTCTTTATTATATATGATGCTATAAACTCTCTTACTTTCTTATTAGTCACCAACTTCTAAATGCCAATCAAACAGATCCCCCCATGATGTTTACTTAAAGAGCTTGTTTTGGAGACACTACCCAACCCCTTTCAGATGAGGTAAACATAAGGACATAACTTATTCTAATGTTTTCACTTATTCATACATGATGCCAAGGGTTCAAACTAAATACTGAATGGTCACACAAGTGTCAACACTAAATATATTGTAAACAGTGCCAGCTTTAATTTCGGGACACAATTTTGAAAGATTAAAATGGGGGTCTCCTTTAAAAACAGCCCCGTCTAAAAATAAATCAAGCAATCCAAATCTTTGAAAGTTGATTATGACGGAAAGTCATCCAGTACAATACTGAACATATTTTATATGATATTATCTGAGGGCATGCCATTATCCAAGAGGTACAAAATGACAGATCGTTTTTCACTGTCTGCAAATTTTAAAGAAATATTATACCCCAATGTGTTGTGATGACTAATATCTTGTTAACCACATTACCCCCATATGTGAACTTTGGATATGGGTTTGCTAATGATTCCGTCTAAATAAAATGGAAGCTCTTCTAACATTAGACATCGAGAATATAGTTAGGCCGACTACTTTTGGGACGCCCCTCGTATATGCATATTCATCGTGAGTTTAGACATTTGTAAGAATATTATGCATCAGTGCCTATGTGACAGAGTCTTTTAAACGGTACTTGTATCAAACCATAGTTGTTTGAGGATTAGGATGGAGTAGGGATTGAATGGAACATCTTCCACACTGTATTGTATCGCTGTTCCTAAGATGCTTCTGCGAAAGATCAAAGGAGCCGACAATATTTTATTTAAGAAATACAGTTTGCTCTACCACCATGTATAGAGTAATAAACCACACTTTCGCCCTGAACTATTAAAGTTAAAGTACGAGGACGCTTGCGTGGAAACATTACGTTTATGTTTTACGACGGTTAAAATGTGTCAATTCGACTCACAAGTTTTCAGCAACACGGTAACGTTCGCAATGTTTACATTCCCACAATGCAATCGTGGAATGTAGCTTGACTACTCAGCTTCATCTGGATGTACTGATCTAAACTAACGTTGGTAGAAGAAATGCGACGTTCATATTGCCCCATATGGTTTACGTTAATGACAGATGTAATTAACATAATTCGGAGAAGATATTTAGAGGGCAGACACGTCAATAGAACATCGAGCCAGTTAGCCCTGTGCGAGGAAATAATTTAGGTCACCGACACCGTTCTTTTTTTTTGCCTTAAATTAATCGTAATTATCCTTAGAAAGTATTAAATTTGGCATCTTAGAAAAGAAATACAGTTCGCTCTACCAGCGAAAGTGTGCTTTATTACACTATACATGGTGGTAGAGCGAACTGTATTTTTAAATAATATTTTATCGCCCCTACATTTTAATAATTAATTATAAGTCAGACACAATCGTAGAGTATCACAGAAGCAATACTACACTCGTCCCGCCATGGCTCACATTTTAGCAAGTTTGTTTCACGGCTCCTGAACCGTATTATTTTTCCCTCCATCCAAACTTCACTGACATGGAAGGCCTAAACCAAGCAAGTCTAGATTTTCCTCAGGTTCCAGTTCTGCATGCCCCGCCTCACTGGGTCTCCTTTTCAATTCAAACGGAGTTGTTTCTATCAACATTATACGTTGTCAGAGGCAAAGCGTTCATCTAACATCTTAGCCAATGCATGTAATCAGTATTCATTTAGCTGTTCAGAAGATAATAGAAATGTGATTACTTTGAGCTAAAAAAACCTTCCTCCAATTAACCTTCTATACTGAAAACGACAACGTTCGGCCCCTTGTACAATGCGCCCATCATGGTCTCAATAATTCTTTAATTTTAAACTTATATCAACCTTACATACCTTTGCTCCTATCAGACAACCATGGTAAGACGTTAGACAACGAATCTAAACGGTCAATATTGGCATAGGACTTCATACGTTGTGGACACAAGATACGTCTCCTGATCTGCCTGAGATGATCAACTTCGGCTAGGAATAACATTGTTCTCATGTTTATGTACAGTGTATGCATGAGGGAAATCTGTCCCGACCCTGTCCTGAATAAAACGTGTTAATAACAAGGCCAGACTCCCGATCCACAAAACGTTCGTAACGTTACGAGCTACGGCACTATATAGTTTACCATAGGATTATGAATGACGTTGTGCTACGAACATTTTGTGGATCGGACCCCAACCTCAAGTTGTGATGTATTAAAACAGACCGCCGTAATATGCTAAACGTATATGAAAAATACCCGGAGTCACTTCCGATGTGAGTGATATTCCCGTAGACGATTTGGACATAAAGTATCATTTGACTATATATGTATATATCTTGACAGGCCTTCAAAACAAAGTTACATTGAGAGAAAGGCTTATTTTCCTTGTACGGCTCACCTGTGTGATGAATTGGTTCCGTTCTTGAGACTTAGGGAAAATAGTCTGTAAAACAGGGCAAGCAACCCCACCACTCTCACACATTCCTTGCCAACCCACACCAACTCCGCTTCGCGGGAAGGTGTTACATCACACTGTATGTATTATTAACATAAACATGTATCGATACAAATATTATTAATTACAAACTACCATATTTTATATTGACGTGGATCACTTACCCTCCTCGTGAAACGCCCCTGATATCAAGTTCCGGGAAAAGAACACCACGTGACAAGCCTTTGGTGTATGTATCTATATGCTTATCGCAACCTTTGATCACTTCAAACTATACATATCATGTACGGAGCTTACACAACCGTTATCGTTACGTTGCAGCTGCGATAATAGCCGATGACATGAAAGTCACTGACTGAAAGTCTCTCTCTCTCTGCCGTTACATAACAAACAAAATATGTTATCATATGGGATTGTTACCAAGTTACGGTTCGGTGGGGTAGCCTAGTGGATAAAGCGTCTGCTCGTCACGCCCCTAAGACCCCGGGTTCGATTCCCCAAATGGGTACAATGTGTAAAACCCATTTCTGGTTCCCCCCCCGCCGTGATATTGCTGGAATATTGCTAAAAGCAGCCTCAAACACAACTCACTCACTTTTACCTAGTTATAAAAGCGATTATCAAAAGTTGGTATGACATTGTGTGTACACCAGTCTTAGAAGAGTTCTGCGAACATCTATAAACATCCAGAAAATGTACCATGCAGAAAAATCGCAGAATTTGTCTATTATAGCAATCAGGACACTAATTTCCGTTATTTTCAACCTTTTCCGATGCATTTTCCGCTGGCAATATGCCAAAACATTAAACATGCAATTCAAAGATTCAAAATATGAAGCTAAAAATAAAACGCAAATTTGAAATATTTCATTCTTTCAAAATGTTGTTGTGGTATTATCAACCACATAGACTATGTTAACGTCTAACAATAAACTGAGTGAGTCTGGGTTTACGCCACCTCTGGCAATATTCCAGCAATATCAAGGCGGGGGGCACAACAAACGGGTTTCATACATTTTACCCGTGTGGGGAATCGAAAAAGCGAATTCGGTGTGACGACCGAACGTTGTAACCACTTCGCTATCCAATGCGGTGAAGTAAGTGGCAAATGTATTTAATGACACCAAAACCAGGCAAAGACAAAGAAATGTATCAACATAACATGTACCAAACGATGATAAATTATTTATTTCAATCCCTCTAAATCCGCCCGTGGATAATCAGGGCTAACACGTATTTGGACCCCCGCTTCCATGCATGTTAATGGTAGGTACACTTATGGGAGGCAACTCTGTGCAGCTGGCTGCAGTGGCTTGGTTAACGGCTACCACGTTGTCGGCGATGCTGTTGATTGTTCATGTTTTAAAGCAGTTGGTATGGCTCTGAATCCATTTATTGCAAGCTGCGAGTATTGACGTTTATGTATTGTTGACTCGGACGTTGACACAACATACTCGTGTTTTCAGCAATGGTGTTTTGCAAGGTTTTTTAAACGTCGTAAAATCCTCTCATTTTACTTCGAAGAATCAACGCATTTAAAATAAGCTAAGAATGTTGGATTCCTTCTGTCGGCCATGACCTGACAGTTAAATTACATGCTGTCGTGATCTGGTCACTGACTGGTTATCACTCATGTTAGTTACACTGGGAGTGAGGAGGTATTCGTATGCATGCGGACGTAAAACGGTAGTCGTGGAGCCTGTGTAACTGGTGTGTGACATGGATTTGAGGTGTGTGATATGAATTTGAGATGTATGACTCTGATTGGCGGAGACATTGAGTTAAGGTGTGTGACATTGATTTGAGGTAATGTTTTATGATATATATTTGAGATGTGTGACATTGGTTTGAGATGTGTGACTGATTGGCGGAGCCATTGATTTGAAGTGTATGGCACAGATTACCTTAGACATTGATTTGTGGTGTGTGACATGGAATTGCGGTGTGTGACATTGATTTAAGATGTGCGATATCGATTTGAGGTGTGTGTTTTGTGATATATATTTGATGTGTGACATTGGTTTGATATGTGTGACTCTGAATGGCGGAGACATTGATTTGTGGGGTGTAATATGGATTTGAGGTGTGTGATATGGAATTGCGGTGTGTGACATTGATTTGAGGTGTGTGTTTTGTGATATATATTTGAGATATGTGACATTGGTTTGAGATGTGTGACTGATTGGCGGAGCCATTGATTTGAAGTGTATGGCACAGATTAGCGGAGACATTGATTTGTGGTGTGTGATGTGTATTTACAGTGTGTGACTTTGATTGGCGGAGATATTGAACTGTGGTGTGAGATATTGAATTGTGGTGTGTGATATGGATTTGTAGTGTGTGACATATATTTGAGATATGTGACATTGGTTTGAGATTTGTGACTGATTGGCGGAGACATTGATTTGTAGTGTGTGACATTGATTTGTGATGTGTGACATTGATATGTGGCGTGTGACATTGAGATTGATATTACCTTGTCGTAGACTGTCACAGAGTTACCAAGTACATGTCATCGTGCCTGCAGAGAGCTCCCGATATGATTCATGTACAAAATACATTGCCATGCACAGAGGTACAGATAAGCTGTGTATCTGCGTAAATTACGCAAATATTTATGTGAAAACTCAATTTCTATTAAATCTATTGCGTACAAGTACACTTGAATTTGTGTAAATACTCAATAAATGTGATCTTAAATGCGTACACTAAAAAGTGTCAAATCTTAGCTTGTGTACAGGTGAATAGATAAAATAACTGAGGTATACTGAGAGGTTCTATGTCAGGACATGAACTTGACAACTTGCAGTCTTTCTTATCGTTTTTCATATTACAGATCAAATATAAATAACAAACACTAACATTTAAACTTTATTATATTTTCAAACTTAATGGAAAATGGCAAAATACCCAATTGAGTTTGAGTGAGGTGAGTACAATTTATTTGGTTACTCAAAGGAAAATTCGGATACCCAATTGAGATGAACACAAGTGAGTACATAACTCAATGACCCAAAAGGTTATTTGTAGCTCTGCATGCAAATTAAACATGAAAAAGATGGAGGAATATACATTCTAAGTATGACACAGTTTTTCGGATCAACTACAGCTGGTTAATAATATGTTTGTCTTGAGCGGGAACGTGTTACAGATGTTGCAAATAACACATGCTGGCATCTTTATCACCCTGATGGATTCAGTGTGCGGGCACATGCTGCAGCGTCTCCACGATGTAATGGCAGTGATGGCAACTGCTGCTAGTAGTGGTGGTAGTTGTTGTGGGACAAGAAGTAGGATTAATCTACTTTGTTCTAATGGGAATTGTGATGATGCACTGAACATTCCTATCACAGCAGAAGTACAAAACGCTGTCGAAAGGGCAAAAAATAAGAAAGCTGTTGGATTAGATAACATTCCTGCGGAAATATTGAAAAATAGTGACTGTGTAAAACTTTCCATGAACTGTTTAATGTTTGTTTTGAGAGAAATATCGTAGCAAGTGCATGGCGAGAGTCTGTCATAAAGCCAATAGTTAAACCTAAGACAGATAAAAAAAATATCCTGTGACGCACAGAGGAATATCCCTGATTTTGTACCATGCACAATATACTGTGCTATCTTGAATATACGGATAAACTCATGGCTTGAGTCCTCAAATATTTTAGCGGAACAGCAAAATGGTTTTCGAAAAGTTGTTTTCAACATATGTACGGTCTTTACACTATCATCAAAAGCAGGCTTGATAGCAAACAAGAGACGTTTACATGTTTTATTGATCTAAATAAAGCATTCAATAACGTTGACAGAGATTGCCTATGGTTAAAACTAAGAAAATTCGGCGTGAAGGGTGAATCTTCAATACTATCAAAACGCTGTATGAAAATAATACTTGAACTGTGCGATAGAATGATGCTATGGGACAATTTTTCACCGTGAAAAGGGGAGTTAAACAGCGATGTGTACTGTCGCCGACATTATATATTCTCACTATACATCAACGGCCTAGCGGAGGAGATTCAAGAGAGTGATAATGGTGTGTGGATAGCCAATACATACATACATACATACATGCATACATGCATGCATGCATGCATGCATACATACATACATACATACATACATACATACATACATACATACATACATACATAGATACATACAATACATACAATACATACAATACATACATACATATGTACATACATACATACATACATGCACGCACGCACGCACGCAGACATACATACATACATACATACATACATGCACGCACGCACGCACGCACGCACGCATGCATGCACGCACGCACGCACGCAGATACATACACATACGCACGCACGCACCTACGCACGCACGCACGCAGACATACATGCATACATGCATACATACATACATACACACACTGACTGACTGAGTTTGGTTTTACGCCGCTTTTAACAATATTCCAGCAACATCACGGCGGGGGACACCAGAAATGGGCTTCACACATTGTGCCCATGTGAGGATTCGAACCCGGGTCTTCGGCGTGACGAGCCAACGCTTTAACCATTAAGCTACCCCACCGCCCCACATACACACACACATGCATACACACACATGCATGCATACATACATACATACATATATACATGCACACATGCATATACAAATTACATACATAACATAAATACATACATAAATACTTGCATACATGCACACATGCATATTTGCATACATACATACATGCATACATGCATGCACACACACTTACATGCATACATGCATACACACACATGCACATACATACATACATACGTACGTAAATACATACATGCATTCATGCATACATGTATACACGCACACACATACATACAGACATACATACATACATACATACATACATACATACATACATACATACATACATACATACATACATACATACATACATACATACATACATACATACATACATACATGCACACAGACAGACAGACATATATTTTATAACAGCAACCATTATCTATTTCAAAATGTACTTTTACGATAAATTTAGCTTTTATAGTTTAGTATCTCGTACACCAATACATGGCTGGATGACAGTGTTTTCTTTTCTTCATGAATGTTTATTAAGTATGTATATTTCTTATGTAACTGACCTGTGACACTTAAATAAAACATTTCTGTCTGTCTGTCATTAATTATAGTAAAGGTTCCTGAAAATGGAATTGTCGAGTTACCGGTGGT